TTGTTCCGCTCTTCTTCTTTTCTTTTTTTTTTCCTTTTTTGAACAAGGAAATTAATTGTTTGGCTCGTTTATAACTTACCAAACCTTCTTTTTTTTTTAGTTTTTATATGTTTTCAGAATTAATATACCAAATATGCTATTTATTTTATTTTAGTTTTTACAACTAAAAAAAAAAGAAAGAAAGAAAGAATAAAAGAACAAAAAAAACAAAGAATAAATGTATTTTATGTTCTTTGTACGTAGAAAACAAAAAAATTAACCACATGTTACTAAACACTACTTTCAATATTGTGTTTCTAATCATCTTAATTTTGATTGGCATAAGTTTTTCAAATCTCAAAGTGAATATTTATTAGAATTCTAACTTTTTGAAATTTTTAGGGCTGCAAAAAAGCATTTGGAGACTTATATTCAAGCTTTATAAACCTCAACGAATGAAATAATATACGAGCCTAGCTAAAATACGTTGTGTCTAAACTTAGGCCGACATAAGTTGTGTCGAAGCTTCACTTCACACTGGCTTTTGTTCGTCCTTGATCTCATTCACACCATCATAACACAATATTTTCTGCTGCCGGAAGTTGAATCCGAAAATAGGGATGGCAATGGCCAAGTATGGGTCAGAGGCCTACCCCGCTTTGTCCCTCAATGTGACATCCCTTTGGCCTAAGATCATCTCCGACCCTTGAAGCTTTTACTCAAATTGAGTAGAAGCTTGAGTAAACGGCTTCATTAGACGTGAATCATTCCAATGAATAAACTCAAATTTGAGCAAAATTGCCAAGGTGTCAAGTTTGAGTAGAAGTTATGGATTGAAGTAGAAGAGATTAGTGGAAAGTTTAGGTGAAAGTGCCCAATTGTTAAGTTTAGATTGGATAGAAATTTGAGTAAAGAATATAGGCCTCCCTTGTTTTGAGTAAAATTGATAAAAATTTGAGTAAAAGAGTGGAGGGAATTCATTTTGATATTAGCTTTTCAAGTTAAGGAGTGAAGAGGGTTTTGGGAGTTTTTTACTCAAATTTGAATTTGATATATTCAGGATGTACATATCCAGTATTTTTTGAAATTGGAATAAAAAACATGTTTGTCAATTGTTTTCACTTTTTACAAAAACACGTTTGCTAACTTCACATATTTTTGAATAGTGAGATTTTTATTTTATTTATTTTTCTTTAGCTTTAGATTTTTTGAAATCGGAATAAAAAATACATTTGCTAATTGTTTTCACTTTAAAAAAATCTATCTATAGTTCTTAGAATTTTTTGAAATAAGAAAATTGTGATTTTACTTATTTTCAAAAAAAGTTTCATTCTTTCCTACCACCCTCACCCTTCCGTCTATGCTCCGGCAACCACCTTCGGCCACTCACCCCTTCTGGTAACTTACTATACTTGTTTTCATTTTGAAAAATGATAGACAAATTTATTTTATGAACTTACTTTCTAAATCCAGTGATATATAATGTAAAAAAAATAATTAATTGATGATTAGAGAAAATATTAGAGAGAGAGTTGACTTAACTCCTAAAATTTACTTAAAATATAGATTGTCCCTCTAAATTTAGAAATTAGAAATATCTCATTGTCAAAAAATTTTATTTAACATAATTAATAGAAAGATGAAAATTTAATTATTCTACTATATAATAATAAAATTATTTGAATTGTTAATTGAAATATATTTCTAATATCATAAAAAATAATTAATTAACTTGATAATTTATTAATAAAATGAGTTATTTGTTATGTAATTAGACAATATGTATTTTAAGCAAACCTCAAGAGATATATTTGTAATTTATCAATATTTTAATAGAGCACTACATCATTAGGCTTGAAAAATTAGTCTGTCTCGTTTGGGAACATGCTATTTTAATAACTTTTTAACTTTTTACAAAAAAATAGAAAAAGTGATGTAACAACTTATAGTGATTTTTTAACTAAAATATATTGTCCTCAAAGAGGCTAACTTTTTGGTTAGAGTAGCACTACTCTTTGATTTTTTATGTTCTTGAGAACATGTATACTAAATATGCTATTTATTGTAGTTTTTAGAAAAAGAATAAAAAAAATAAACACATTTTATGCTCTTTGTACATAGAAAACCAAAAAAATAAAAAAAATAACCACAAGTTAGTAAACACTACTTCAAATGTTGGGTTTCTATCATTTTTATTTAAATTGGCACAAGTTCTTCAAATCTCAAAATGAATATTTCTTAGGATTATCACTTTTGGAATTTTTTAAGGCTGCAAAAAGCATTTGGAGATTTATTTTCAAACTTCATAAACCTCAACAAATGAGAATAATATTTGCAATTAGTTAAAATTTTTGATTCATGACCATATCATTCAAAGTTCAAACTCAATATATGTAGTAGTTAGAGTCGGAGGAATAATGACTTGGCTAAGGGTGTAAGCGTGAAGACAAGCTTCCTATGTTTAGAGGTCTTTAGTTGATTTTCACAGACGTAAAGTGATTGACACAATAGGAGTACCTTCCCCCCAACCGACTGAGCAATATGATGTAGTAGAACGACCAGTGGAAGGAGAAGCACCTCAATGTCAACCGTGGAACCGATTTACGGAACCACGAAAATCAATTCTAATGGCTTATCAAACAACTACATAGATTAGATCTAACTTGACAGTTCTTGTAGGATGCCTTTCAAAATTTATTGATCTTTGAAAAAGAACAGTAATTCCATCGAAATCAAACCTTATTCAATCATCTAGATTTCTGAATTAGGATCTTCAAAAGTAAAACTGTGCAGTAACAATGAAATTACCATTACTCTATGTGCATATTGTGGTAGCAAATTTACAAACAATATCAAACTTACATCAACTAATCTTTTGGAATCTTTCAAGTCTTTGCATCAGAAAAGTTGTATATAGAAAAATAAATCATATAACCAACTGGTATTATACAAAGTTGTGGTATAAAAACTCCAAAACAGGATAAACAAATCAGAAGACTTTTTAGCAACCCTTAGGCCTAAAGTATTTTGGGGGAAGAGATGGGAACCTTTCATTCATATGTGGGTATGAATCCATCGTATTGTATGCGGGTAGTTCCATTCAATACTTCTGTCGAATTTGGCAGTAAGGGAGCTTCATGGTGTCCGCGTAGGCGCTTGAATTGTTTTCAAAGAACTTGAGTGTAATAAGCATATCTTTTATCTACAGTTTGGACAACATAAATTAACAAAGCAATAATAATATGTGAAATTCCTGACCTTGGTTTTAGACCCACACAACAATCAAGTTTATTTTGAGTTGAGGATCTGAAATTGAAGGGTAGATTTGATTACAATGGAAAATCCAGACTTTCTTCGATTTCGATGAAGCTTCGTTGTGACTATCAGTCCCTTGTTATCATTATTGGGTTTTATATTGTATTTGGTTGGGAGATTTGGAAATAAAAAATTGTTTGGTAGAGTTTTAGAATTATAATTTGAGAATAGAATTATATTTTGAATTTATGAGTTTTGAAATTATGATTTGGGTGTGAAAAATTTATCTGGTTATGAGTTTTGAAAAAAAATTTAAATTGAGTTTGAATTGTGTGATGTGACATATGATATTTGATATAAAAACTTACAACTCATAACCAAATACACAATTCAAAATTCTATTCAAAACTCATAAAAAATGAAAAAAAAAATTCACAAATATATATTTTTTTGTAATATAAAAATAACAAGTGCAAAAAAAAAAATTGAACACTGTTCTGATCAACCGGTAGAATGTCCGGTTAGCTCAAATTTTCCCACCTTAAAAAGAATTTTCAAAAGTGAATATGGAATTAATTTTTGAAAACATTAAACAAACACCGCACTTAAAAGTGAATGTAAAACTATATTTTGAAAGCTCCACCAAACAGATCATATTTCACCTAATTTTATATTTTTTTTTTCTTTCCAAATTTTTTTCTAAATTTCCGAACCAAACATAGCGTTAGAGGTTTGGATGTGAATGAAAATGGAGGGTCGTAGCCTAAGGGTCCTCAATTGATTTGCTTAAACAACGAGAGAGAGAGAGAGAGAGAGAGAGAGACTGAGAAGATCGGAGAGGAAGAAGAAGAAGAAGAAGAAGATCGATGACGAAGAGCAGTGTGTACCTTAACGACGGGCGACGACGAGACACGAGTGACGACCAATGAGGAGAGACGATCGACGAGGAGCGACGACTGACAACGAGCGAAGACGAACGACGAGCAACCAAGTCCTCTCTTTCTCTCCCTTTCTCTTTTGTTCTCCCTTTCTATTCTGTGCTAATCAAATTAGGGCATATATTTCTGTTTTACTTATTTACAAATTGCCCCCAAAAAAGTCTTGTAAATTGTGAAATTACCTCGAACGTGTCCTGAAAGTGTCTATAACGTGTCCGGATGTAAAAAAATTTTTAAAAAAAGGGGACACTCTTTGCTGCGTGTCGGACACGTGTCCACCGTGTGTTCGACACGTGTCCACCGCGTGTCTGACACTGGTATGGAGCCCTCGGAGAGGTGTCCGTGCTTCATTGCTAGAATGCCATAAGTAGAAAGGACTGGACAGAGAATCTAACTAAAAAGAGGAAAAGACAGTAGGAGAGGTGGTCATAGGTAGATGCAAGCTCTCCACCACATGGAGGTCTCCAACTCTACGTCCAGTTCCAATCTCTGGGCGTTGGCTCACCCTTTATGGGACATTATTTTCAGGTACAGGTAGTATGCCACCTCCAAGGACATAGCTTGGATGATGATGAGAGTTGAAGACCCTTTTTTTGTTTGTATTACATGTACATCAAGCCAAGGGCTTATTTTGTATAGAGTTAGTACTCTTCTTTTGTGTAACCAGGTGTTGACTTGGAAAGCTGTAAGCCCATAGGGCATTTGCTTTTGTTGTTAACATGTAATACAGTTGTAAAAATTACTCTGATGAATAGAAATGATTGGTTTCTTTTATATCAATGCATGTCTTAAGTGATGTGTTTTTATGTATTTTTGAGGGCGTTACAGAACCTTAGAGTAGAGGGTTTCTTTTCACCAGGGTTGGGGTAGCAAAGTTTAGTTCGTTAGGTGAGAATATTGATGTTTGCGATGCCAAGTTTTCTTTCTCACATCATTCTGAATTATTTATTATTATGTTTTGATTGATTGTTTTGTTATTTGATGGGAATACAATCAGTTTTTTGATTTTAATTGTTTTTTCACGATGTAATGGTTTGGCTGTGTGGTGGTGTCTCAGAGACGAGGAATATCACGAGGAGGGAGAAATAAAAGAGGTCCAATCCAATCGAAGATTGAAAAACAAGGCAGTGATGGAGGAAAACACGTTGATTAATAGTAGTTCTTCTCTTGTTTCTGGTAGCGAAGGTGAGAGCAATACACTTGCTCCTGACAAAAGCACACTTGAAAGTGAGAACTGGGGGGGTGATTTTTGCAACTCAGAGTAAGCTTTATCTGCACTTCTCTTCATATCATTATGTTATTTTATTTATTGGCTTTTGGTTTAATTTTTCCATAGCAATTCATGCTTATTATGCATTGTGGGCTGAATTAGTAACATTGACTCGGATTCGACTGAATTTGAAATTGGGGGACTTCATTACGGTCCTTATAGCGACGATGACGGCTTTCGGTTTGAAACGAAGGAGACCAATTTTGTTTGGGATGGATGGTGAGTTTTAGTAGTAGTTACTCTTCTTGTTTATCACATACAAGTTTCAGTTGCCTTTACTTTTACTCAATAAATTTGTTCATGGTTGATTTGTGTTGAGGTTGTTAAAATCGGAATCCTACCTTTACTCTTCTTGATATAATACATCTTTTATGCTACCATAAATTGTTAACTACACGCATTTGCATGTGCAATTCAAAAAAAAAAAAGAAAAAGAAAAAACATATATAGTGTAGGTTGCTCAAGTGGGACAGACTTTCATTATTAAATCCAAGGCTATGGGTTCGAGGCTCATCCTCTTTTTTGCATAATTCTTACAAAAACTCCAAATATAACTCCAAATATAGGGGTGTTTTGGAAAAATCCAAAATATGAGACAAAAAGTGTCAACACCAATAGCAGCTTTCACTTTATATATTAGAATAGATATGCTCCCCTTGTCCCAAACAAAAGCAATTAATATGCTCAAATTCAAATTCAAAAGTGTTGATTCCCATCGTTGTCCCTTTAATATATTCTTTGGCAACATAAAACTTTTGTGCATTGACTTTTCAAAAGTGGACATGCGCATTGTGGTTGGGACGTCCAAAAATGGAATTATGGACTAACAAAATGGGACAGAGGGAGTAGTATTTACTAATAGTAATTATTAATGATAATTGTTAAAATTGTAACTAACATTGATTTTAGATTGAAATCCAGTTTTCATTTCTCCCTCCATTCAATGGTTGGTGTACATTTGATTTTTTCCTCTTGCTCCTACTCCTCTTCCCCATTTTTGTCAATCTTTATTTTGTGGAAAAGGTTTATTTTTTCACATTACGTGGCACAATCTATAATTTTTTCTTTTGGGTTTGTTTCTTTACAGTGAATCCTTAGGAGTTTGGTAGTAGGATGGTTTGTTGGCTGTCATAGCGAGAGATGCTTCATTTGACTAGTTTTTTGGTGGTTCATAATTCATTCAATGGCTGAGAGGTTTTCGGTCTATGAAGGCCTCACTCAATTTATTGTGTCAAATTATAAATTTACTAACAGCATGAGAGTCAATTTGACTTGATGCACCTACTATGGATAATCGAACCGAACCGAACCAAACCAAACCAAACTAAAATAGGGCTTCTGTCCTCATCAAATAGGGTTGGCCACATGATTCTTTTAGCCATTTTGCTCTGTCAAGAGTTATATGTTCAATTAATTAAATAATTCATATAATTTCTTACTACCGCAATCCATGTCAATTTAGCTCTTCCCCTTCCTCTAACATTTCTGTTTACGACGATCATTTTACTGCTATGTATGGATAGAGTTTTCCTTTATGTATGCTTATCTTGTGATGTTGAACCCTCTTTCAGGGATAAACTTGTAATTTTACATATTAAGGTGTCGTTTGGTAACACTTACGCTTTCAGTTTTCTGTTTATATTTACAAAAATTTAAAAAACTCAAATAAAAACTTGTTTGGTAAACTAAGTAACATGTTTTTCTTACCAGAAAATAATCTATTTGACTCTTATTTAACACATTTTTAAAAGTTATTGAAATCTCTCTCTCTCTCTCTCTCCCCTTCTCTTTTTAATGAAGGTATTGTTTACTATAAGATCAAATGTTACTGAGAAATGCAAGTCTGTGGCCCTGTTTTCGGTTCCCAAAATCATATCCACTATGTATTCTCTTGTTCCTTGCTTATCTTTTTCTACATAACCGTCGAAATATCCACATAATTATTTTTATTTCCTATAAAATAAAATAGATATTTGTTGCATTAACTCATCCAGTTAATCCCAAAATTGCGTTTTTCATTTGTTCCTCCAATCCTATTTGGGATTCATAGGTGCTAATCACATTAATTATAATTTCTCCCATTACAAGTTTAATTAACATGATTATGTTCTGCCTCCAATTCTTGTAATTGTTACTACCTTATCTTTAGCAACAATTAATTGTACATCTTTTCTAGTTTTAATGTATTTTATATTATATTTTCAATTGATAAGCGTAGTGTGGTCTATGCAAGTCATGGGAAATTAAGTTGGATGGTGCATCTTTGTAGTCCCTACATTGTTGTTTTATGTCTTAAAACAATATTTGTTTACGTTCCCAGTTATCCCAATTTTTTTTACCCAACTGGTTTCCTATATATGCTTTGTCATTCGTGCTTTAGTAGTTCTTAGTTAAACAACTACCTACTGAACTAATACCTTGGAATTTTAATTTCTTCCTTCCTCGTTCATGGATGTGTTGGCATAACTATATGTTTTGTCGATAAAGGAATGTACATATATAGCTTCAAACCAACAAAATGGGTCCATCATAATTCAAACCAAGGGAATTGATTTTTTGAGAGTCCTTACTTCTTAGTAATGTAGATGCACCTAGACTCTTGTTTATAAATTATAATTATGGTGCATCTTTTTGTAAGCACCACTATGCCTTTTTTTCTTTTTAGATAATCAAGTCTCATTCTTGTTCACCTGTATTTGATTACTCATTCTTAAACAGGGAAGCTGCTCTAATTGTGTCTAAACGAATGCTGGCAGATTATTATGTTAAAAGCAGTTCAGAAAAAGAAGACAGCGGAAAGGTATTTGCTCATTGTAGAATGGTGAATATACTTGGCTGTATGAGAATTTGATCTTAACTCCCTCCCTTTTTTGCTGTCACTTTTTTAGGTGTTGACACTTGAACCATATGAGAATGAGACCCATTTTGGAAAAAGCAATGCCAGGCATACATTGGAGCTTGAAGGGAGTGGCCTAGTCACCAGAAAGGTTTCTTGGTTGTTTTATCCTTATTTGGGAAATGTAGAAAACAACCTTTTGTTGGAGGTCTATAAATTATTTGTTTATTTCATCTGTGTTCTTGATTTTTTTAGCGACGTATTTTTTTATTCATGAAGTTTTTGAATTTTTTAATTGCTGCTAGAGCATTTTAGGAAGGACAAGCCTAATAAGAAATATAATCTTGACCAAGTGTTACTAGAGCTGCTAATACATTTTGGATGCACGTTTTGAAATATGGTACAATTTTGTTCCAAAGCAATTAATTATCTATCCAAAGTGATTCCAAAATTTTTTTCCTTTGTTTTTCTTAGGGGAAAAATTAAATATAATGAACTAAAATCTAAGGAGCATTGCAGTTTTGGAAGGACAAAATGGGAAAAAATGCTCATAATGCTTATGAAAATGTGTTTTTTCATGATCAATTGAAAAAAATGTACTATTTTTTTTTTTATTGGATGTCTAATCTTTGAAAGGAGTACCTTAAATTTTAATATTGTAATTTATACAAGTCTACCCCTATCGTTTCACATTTTAGTGCATGTGGTGTTTTATGTTCTTGTTTTAGTTCCCATTCCATACAGCATAACGATCCAAGTAACATGGGTCGAGACAGAGAATGGAAAATTTGGTTTTGGTAGTAATGGGAATTTTTTGTTTGTTTTGAATTCTATTGTATTCAAGGAATATGAATCTTTTTTTTTTTTTTTTTTTTAAATTTTTTCTAGATATAGTTATGTTTATTTAATTCGAATCAAGGATGAAGCTTTGGAAACTTTCATCAATATAAGAATGAAGTTGAAAATCAACTTGGTAAGAAAATCAAGAAACTTAGAAGTGATAGAGGTGGTGAATATGAATCACCTTTTGGTGAATTTTGTAAAGAACATGGAATAATTCATCAAACCACCGCTCCTTACTCACCTCAGCAAAATGGAATTGCTGAAAGGAAAAATAGGACTTTAAAAGAAATGTAATCACTTTTGACAACTAATTGCGCTTTGGAAAACGTTATTTGAACGCTAGATTGATTATCAAGGCCAGCATAATTTTCATGATCCATTCTCAGAAATTGCCTTTGCAAAAGGGCAAATGGGCATAGTTTATTAAGCACACTAGTTTTAGCCAAAACATGTATTTTTGGGTGATTTGTGCTGCGTGTCCATTAAAAATTAACATAATAATAGTTAATTTGTACTAAAAGGATGTTAACTGACGTTGTCTTATTTTGCCTTAAGTCCCTTTTGTCCAACACTAAAACCTGCATTGGTAGGTGTGGAAATTGAAGTATAAAAATATGGAATGATATTACTTTTGATTTATCTAAAGATATATTTAACCCTTTTTTTTTTTCGTTTTTACTTCACTTATTGTGCATTGCCTATCAATCCCTGAATCTTACCAAATTTATATTTTTAGGTAGTACAAGATGCCTCGTGGTTTGGGCCAATCAAAGAAGAACAATACACCAAGATTGGTAAGGTTATTGTGGTATTAGCCCATGGAGCGATGTGTTATGTTATGTTTTGTTCCTTCAAGGAGCTAATCAAAGACGAGGATTACAATACTGTTGGCGAAAGTGTGTTTAAAAGTATTGTTAAGTTTGTCTTGAGTGTTTTTGATATGGTAAATTCTAAATTCTACCTTAATGTGCCTGTGGCCAATTTTTTGTGGATATTGTTTTTGGTAGTAGTCTCGCGGAGCTTTCATCAATTTTTTGTGGTTTAATATTTGCTTTAGTCTCGTGTAACTAAAAAATTTATTTGATGTTTTGTTCAACATTTAATGTAGGTACATTAGATTTCTATATTGTTATGTTTGAACAACTCATGGATTTGATGGTGATTCATTATATGTTTGTCAAGTAAGATTTAGATGACTAGATCTAAATTTCACTAGGTGGATATGGCCGAGCTTGATTATGAATGAGTGCTGATAGGAATTCAGAGTGGATGTGTCATTTTAACTTGATGTGTGCCGAATGAAAATAGTGAAGTAGTTATATGTGATTCTCCATTGTGCTACTATGGTGGGTTAAGAATGGTTGTCTTGTGTCCATTGTCAATTGACTAATGCAAGGATTTTAAATATCAAATCATTTTTGCTCAATTAGTGTTCATCTTATATATTGGTGTTCCTTTTGTTTTGATGGGTTAGGGACTATATGAATCATGGAACCCTCACAATTGCTTTAGTGTTCATCTTATCCTTTTTTTAATTTTATATTGCTCTACTTTTTAAAAGGCGAGTTTTGTAGTTTGAACTAGTTGATTGCTACTTGATTCTCACACAAGTGCTTCTTAGGTCAATAAATTACATTGTTCTTGATCATTTCATGATGTGCATTTTGTCTTGTTTTTATTTGAACTGTTTTTCTTGTTATCATTGTTGTTGTTTTTGTTATAATAGTGGTAGATTATAATATTATAGTATGAATGTCTTTGTTGCATGGGTTTTTATGGTTTGGAAGGTCTCTTTCATAGTGCACTTACATTCAATATATAAAATGATACGGATTGGCGGTTGCCGGTATGTGATTTTGCTGTTGTAAATGTATTACTTTTGTCTTGTGTCATTATTGATGTATCTTCTTCTGATATATTTAATTAACATAATTTTTGTTTTTTTGCTATAGTTGTGGTGTTTCTCATAATATGTTTGAATTTACACGAGTTTTTATAGGGTGAATTGTTAAGGAATGTTGGTTCCATTGCTCTCATTTTTATTTACTTTTATATTCCAGGAAGATTTTGAGAAAATATTTGATCAGAGTGTGGTTGAGGATGAGTACTCAAAATTATGTGAAATTCTTGACTCTGTAAGAATTTTTATATACAAGAAATTTTTTTCTTTTTTGGTTGTTCACCTGTTCTCTTTTTCTCATATGTGAAAACACCTTTTTCCATGTGCAGTGTAAATGTGATCCTCTTGTAGCTATTGCTGAGGGGAAGGTGAAAGTTGATCAATTTTCCACGCTAAGGGAACATGATCTTTGTGACACTATACGGGTAAGAATCTTTCTTTTTCATTCCTAGCAATTGCTTTGGCTTTAATAATTGTTAGAATGTGTCAGGGACAGATCTACAGTAGGACCAGGGGTAAGAATCTTTCTTTCCTCGGATTTTCGATAATTCTGTTAGAACCCTAACATATATAAATTATATATATCCTTCATAAAATTGTAACAGTGCCCTCCTTAAAATGGTGATGATGCCCCTTCTATTAAGGATTTTCTTTCTAATTACAAAGATTCTACTAATATGAGTCCTTCTACCATACACTCCACAAAAGGGTATACCATATACAAGTTATGATATTTCGTGGTGTTAATACCATAAAGTGTTAGAACTAAATCATTTTTGGTTATAACTAAAAGGACCATAATAAATAATAACCAAACACCACATCTTCGGTCATAACCTAAAAATAATCCCAATAGGTCATAACTAACATCACAATGAGTCATAACCAAAATAACAGTCACAAGAAATTATAACTAAGTTATAACCAACACTACAATGAGTCATAATTAATACCATAATGTGTCATAACTAAGGTTATAAAGATCATAACCAATGTGATAAAGATCATAACTGCGACATGCAATACACACTTTTTTGCAATTGGTTTTTATAGAATTTTCCAAATAAATATATCATTTCTATTTCGACTTATTTTCTTTTATAATTTTCTAATCTACTTATAATAGTTATTCTCCAATATTTTTATAAAATTTAACCTTAAATCCCTTAATTTGAAATTCATATTTATCCAAATGGACTTATAATATTTAAGTTTAGAAATATTTCATTGTTGTTTATTATGAAAAAAAAAAAAATCAATATTGTCTGTATGCAGCAACATAAATGTAGTGTCGAAAGAAAGGTGAAAGCCGATCAATTTTCCAAACTGCGGGAACATGATATTTATGATGACAGAACAGAGGTAAGAATCTTTCTTCCTCATTGCTAGCAATTGCTATGGCTTTAATAATTATTGTCAGTTTGTATGTTTCTCATTTAAATATTTGTCTTGATGCAACTATATCCATGTAGTGCCAAAAAAGAAGTTGAGGTAATTTTTTATTTTATTTTGTTTTCTAGGTTGTGAAATAAATGTATTCTTGAATGTTCATTGTGGTAATTCATTTTGGTTCTGTTGGTTGATTGACTTCTAAGATATTTTTGAAGTGTGATAGTTGTCAAGCCAATTTTTAATGCATTGTTTGGATTTAATATTTTATAGTATCTCCCTGACCCTATGGAAACTAGATAAGCATACCATCAATTTATTATAAATTTTCTTGAGGTTTGTTTCGACGGCATTTAGATACTATCAAATTGGGAATTTGGTCTTAGGTAGCATTTGGTATCAGAGTTAGGTCAAGTACCTTGTAACTTTGCTTCACCAGTAGGCGACAGCCTTGCCTTGGCTACCCGTTAGATCTCAATCCATTCCACTGCTATATTTTCTTTCAGTATCACTTCGTGGTGATCTCTAACTTTATCCACTAGTTTATTCCTATCCCAAATATCTCTATCATATTTTTTTTTTACTCGCAATCCATTTTTGGGTGTTTCTGTTTCACTTTGTCTTTCTGTCTATTTCAACCTCAAATAGGTTTCCATCTTCAAACCTATTTGAGTTTGAGGAGGGGTATTATACCTATATCATGGTGAGCGTGGTGATATACCATGTAAACCACCTAAGTCGCCCCATCTGGCGCACAATCCAAGTCACCCCCTCTGGCACACAACCCAATGTTTCACTTTGTCTTTCCTTCTATTTCAACCTCAAATAGGTTTCCATCTTCAAACCTATTTGAGTTTGAGGAGGGGTATTATACCTATATCATGGTGAGCGTGGTGATATACCATGTAAACCACCTAAGTCGCCCCATCTGGCGCACAATCCAAGTCACCCCCTCTGGCACACAACCCAAGTTGCCCCCTTGGCGCACCACCTAAGCAGCCTCCTGGAGTATTTTCTAATAAGCCGCCCCTTGGCACACATAGTCATCTATTGCCATCATCGTTTAACACCACATCATAAGTTATGTATGTACCATATTTGCTGGTTCAACATCCAGTCAGTCTCTACAACGGTCCGACATGACCCCTTAAATTGTCCCGACATTGATTTCGGTCAGTTCCTACAATGGTCCAGCATGACCCCTTTAAACTGTCCCAACATTGATTTTGGTTAGCTTCTTCTAGGGCAGTTCAGTTATTTTTTGTTTTTTTCCCCTTTTTAGGGTGTGGTGTTGATGTATTAAGCACTTTTTGACTTTTTATTTATTTATTTAGTGGACTACCAGATTTGTTCGGTGGCATTTATTTGGACTAGCCATTGAGTTTTTTACGGCTTCTTCCAGTCATCCATTGGTAAGCTGTGATTGTTGAATATCTTTACACCAGCTTGAGGGGGAGTGTTGAATATAGAAATTAGAGTATATCGAATTTTTTTTTTAATTTTTCGTATTATGTGGGTGTTTGGGAAGTGGCTATTTTTTGAGGTTTTTGGCTTTTTGACTATTTTAATATGCTATTTTAGTTTTTGTGTGTGGGAAGATGGATTGATTTTTTTGTTTGATTGTTGTATTGAAAAATGTGTATGAAATGATGTTGAGATAAAAAATAATTAAATTATTCCCAAAAAGTTGTGCCTGACGTGATGATTGATTTGTTGGGATATGAAATGACTAAATTGCCCGTGTGTGTTGAAATGCTAAGGTGGTGGGTTAGTCAAAAATTAAAAGGGCAAAAACGTAATTTCAAATCTGCCCTGCACAGTCATGAATCTGTCCGCGTCAGTTTTTGATTAAAAAAAAAAAAAAAAACTCAGTTACATTACAACTTTTTGGCTATTTGAATGAGGCTAAAATAGCCTCTCAATCTCCTTCCCAAACACCGCCTATGTATATAATCTGTGATTGTGTCAATCATTAATTTAGTATTGTTTCTTATTTATATCATTTCTTAAATTGTATCATGAATTTATTATATATACATGGCATCTACCTCATTGATGGGAAAAGCCAAATAATTCTTTTCATTCTTTTGTATGCACTAATGAGCTGAGAATTCAGGCTAAAGTTGGAAATTGTTCCTAACCACCCTTGCTTCCACTACCACCATTCCTTACTCCACCTCCCTTAATGTTTATTGCCCTATCTCTCTTTCTGTTCTTTAACCTCCAACCCCTCCCCTATCTCGATCTCGATCTCGATGTGGTTGCAGGTCTTTATGTTAGAGTTACTTGCTGATCTCACTGTTCGTCACTGCAAGTTAAAGAAAGAGATGAGGATGGAGGTTATGGGCAGTGTGCGGTGTTAATGGTGATTGCTATGGCTGTAGATCCGGTGGTGTTAGCCTTGATTTCGATGTTGTTGGTGGTTGGGGACAGAAGGGAGAGATTGAGGTTGGGGCGGTGGAGGGTTCAGATGCTAAGGGGGAGATGGTGGGAGGCTATTTAGTGGGGAGCTGTGGGTTTGGAAGGTTGGGTGGGCTGGGGTTGGGTTTTGGGTTTGAGGTTTTGGATCTAACTTGTGTATATGTGGCCCCACGTGATAGTTTCCGCCTAAATTTGGAAGGAAGTTAGCTTCAAGAGTAAATTGGGAAAATTTTGAAACGTGAAGGGCCGAAGTGAAAAAAACCCATAGGGCCGGCCAAAGTGGGAAAACGGTCAAACTTAAGGGGGGCAAAGTTTAATTTACCAATTTAGAAGTACGGATAGCAACAACAGTTAGCTTTGGGGCTGATTTTAATTGGGTGTTATAGCTGAAATTGCCATAAGAGTAGGGGACAGGTAGGGTTTGTTTAGGGTAATAAATGGTTAAGAGTTTAAGCATGAAAAGATGAGATTTTTTGGGGCTGTTTTAGGGCTGTGAACAGGTACCCATAAAACAGTATTTGGGCTGTTGAAGTGCAGAAAATAAGTGAGAGAAAGAAGGAGAAGAAGATAGTTCCTAGGAATCACTCATTGAGGCCTTAGGCATCACACTTAAGGTTTGATTGCATTAAACAATCCATAAGAAAGCTTCGAAGTTGTTAAAATTGTCTAAGGCCCAATTAGGTTAGACAGAGAATACATGAAAGTCAACGAAAAAAGAAAAAAATAATTTTTTGTGTTTCTTTAGATAAAGAGTTCTCGAAAGTAATGGAAACTCTGTACAACTCAAATTAGCTTGTTAGTTAAGCTTGCAATTTTTTTTTTTGCAAAATTTACAATTTCCCACAAAACTTGACGAAGAGTATATTGTTTCCCGCTTTGTCTATACTTCTCTTAACAACCCCCTATTATGCGGTGATTACATTTGTTTCCATCCTTTTCTTGCAAATTTTTTTTTTTATCTATTCAAATGCATGCAAGAAACTAAAATTTCATTTTTTCCCTCTTTTTCACTTCACTTTTTACCATTTTCATTTTCTATCATTCGTTTCTTTCTAAACAAAAACGGAGCCTAAAATATCAATTCCATTGAATCAAAAGCATTACATGACTTAAAATAAAATTCGAAGATTTCTTAGACCAACTAGAACAAAAAAAAGTAAACGACTAAAACTTTGACTTTCAAAACCTATCTAAGACCAAATAAGAAACATAACTAAAAATTAATTTATTAACTTGACCCACATGATGACCCATGGGCGACCCCTACAGCCCATGATAGCAAATATGAAAATTACCAAAATACCCATGACCTAAAAAACTCTAAAAAAAACAGAAAATAAGACTTTAATAAAAAAAACTTGAATCCATGGCAATTTCCAAATATTGCCACTTCTTAAACTCTTTCTTGCTCTTCTTGTGGATTGCATCAGCTAACTTCCTAAGAATCGGGACTGAAATTGGGATTTATTTCACCCTTTTGTGGACAAAGATATTTTTTTTTGGCTGTTGTCTTTCCTTTGTTGTAAGTACCTTGGTAGTCATGACTGCCTGTATGACTTTATTTGTTTTTCCTATTTGTCTATTTATTTTTCGGATGTAAATTGTTTTCAGGAAGTTTAATTTTTTGTTCATACTTTTTGTTATAGGTTCTTCGTCCGTGGGTTTTTCCTATTTTTGGTCCCGAGGTATTATTTTCTTCAGTGTGTATATGATAATCTTGTCCAATTATTCTAGAGAGGATTATTTCACATGGTTATATTAACTTATTTCCAAAGATAATTTACTGAATCTTGCTAAGTTGATTATTAATTTTATGGATGTAGTGGAATGATATTAGCCCAAACGAAGTAGCAATTGCATTGGAGATGCTTAGGAATTATGAGCCTTTGAAGGTATGAACTTGGCAGTTTTTGTGTTCTTGACTTCTTTGTTGAACTGTTAGAAATTTGTCACTATTGTTTGTCCTTTTTTTAGAGTAATTTTTCTTAACATTCAAAAGAGTTACGCTAAATTAACATCATAATTAGTACTTCAAGTTCTATTCTATAAAATCTGGTGCTGCTGTCCAAATCTTCTGCTGACATGAGTTGCAGCTTCAGCACGGCGTGTTCTAAACACTCCTTGTTTGTTAATTTAGTAGTTTAGTAGTTTGAGCACATTTTTTTGTTTCGCTTTGGTTTCTTTATCAGTTTTTTTATTTTTTTGGTAAGGTTCTATATTATTTTTACTTTCTTAAAATTTAAGTGTTTGACTTTTAAAATTTAGTGATCAATTTTAATCATATGTCTGATATGTTGTCCATTGAAAACCAGGAAGATTGTAAAATGCAGCTTACCTTGGAGTTAACAAATGAGAAAAGTTATCGTATTCTTGATTCTTTGGTTTTAGAGGCTTGGGGGGGCGTTGACATGGAATTGCTACGTAATTGTTTACCTAATACAGCAGATGATGTGTTTCTCGCTAAGGATGTTACTTTTGCATGCTCATGTTTAGCTGATGGCTTATTCATTGGGCTCTATGAATTGGCTGCTATGAAAACATCAGCGGTATCACCCTCTCTCTGCTCTTTCCCCCCACCCCCTTTCACTTAATTTGTCTTGTGTGTGTGGAAATGTTACAACTTTATGTAAATGGATGAATCAAAGTGCTTGTTTTATGCATTTTTCTCTCTTTATACTCTTTTTTTTTGGTGGTTTTCTGTTCCATATTTGAAATGGCCTTTCTTGAGTTCCTAAGTTGCACATATACTATTAAGATTTTGGCACGTTCATTTGACACTTCTTGACATGTGTATAACACACATCCTAACTTTTGCTATTATTATTTTTAAAATTGTTTGTATAACTGGACTAACTTTGCACAGTTGGGGTTATACATGTTTTTTGCTTATGCAAACATGAAATTCTTAATTTTAGGAACAATTTTTGATAATTTATTTAGATGTTGACTTTCTAAAATTGATGTTGGACTTTTTGTTCTCACTTCTTTTCTCATTTATAGAATGTGAAATGATTTCTTATACTAAAATAAAATAAAAATTTATTTTTAAAGTAAAAATGAATAGAGTTGTTATTTGGGTAAATTATATTGATTTTCCCCAAGTAATGATGCAGTTTGAGGAACTTTTATTGACCTCCCGTATGGTAATGATAGTTGTAATTGTTTTAATGAAGGTGATGGAATTTCTGTATTACCTTTAGGTACTTTGCGTTTAAATGTGGACACGGACACAACGTGGACACGACGATATATTATATTTTATTTACTACATAAATTAATACTACATCCACAAACAAATAATTCGATATTTTACAAACAATCCGAAGTGTCCTTGATGTGGCCCCGACGTGTCCTTGAAAAAAATTAATTAAATAAACCGGCACACCGGATGGCGTGTCCCATACGTGTCCCTATGTTCAATACCTCTATGACACTTGTTTTGAAGTGTCAGTGCTTAATAGATTGTCGCACATTAATATCCAAACATCTACCGAAAATGCTAAAACAAGTTATATTCCCTTACCAAAATATAATTCAATGGCTAAGAATAAAACATTTGAAATTCTATGGCTACAACAGGTTGCGTTTGGGTTTATAGTGGGTTCCTTCATGTCCACATGCTGACATGAATTATTGTATGGATCTTGCTCAGTTTACGCGTGTTCAACCCTAATCAACCAATTTAATATTCGTGTTGTTGTGTCGTGTAATGTTTGTGTTTGTGTCAAATAAATGACCAACCCAAACTCTCTAATTATGTGTAAATTTTGAGTTGTGTTAACGGGTTGGATGTCAAATTCTCACCCCTACCAGCAAGGGAACAAGAGGAAAAATAGAATACAAATTCCTAAATAAAGTTACTGTTGAATTAATCTTCAGTTTATGCTTCAACAAAATTTGTTCTCGTCCCCTATCACTAGCGCCACAAACTAGTTCTTGTTGTTTCATAGGTTTTCCTAATTTTATGCGTTCTATGCCCTGCATGTTCAAGTGGTTCATATATTTTTGTGGTGTACTTTTGATTAATCATTTTTCCTGCCTTCATTTCGGCCGTTTTCAGTTACTGTAGTGCATCCTGGGTGGGTGTTCTGTTGGTCTCATCGAATTCCTTAGCTTCTTGCATTAGGGGTGTACATGGATTAGTTTGGTTTGATTTTGGGGAAAACCATGAACTGCACACCAATCTGGGAGCAATAAACCGCATGTCTAAACGATTTAATACGTTTATAAAAAATAAAAATAAATTGGACCTGGACAGGGGACTGGTTTTTGAAAGCAAAAGAACCAGTTCAGACTGGTTTACGGATTAGTCAGTTTTTGTTTGACAGCGCTATCTTGCATTGTTTGGTCATGTAATTTTTGTTGGTAAGAATGTGTACATGAAATTGGTAATTGGATCGTGGTGCCTTGAGTCCCATTCGCAATGATCTCTCTATGGTTTCTATTTTATGTCTCCTTTCATGATGTCGGTTGTTTTGTTTTGTGTTTTTTGATTTTTTGTTTTTTTGTTTTTTTCCAGTTGCAGTACTTCCAGGAAGCTGTAATTTTTCCTTTATCAGATGGTTGCTTTGGACCTTTTACAGATGAGTTCATTGAAGTGATTAAAATTGCTGATCATGAGAGAAGAATGCAAGGTGATCGTTTCATCAGTGTAAAGCATCTTTTGTTTGGCCTTTCACTTTCAAGTGTTCGTAGATGTGTTGAGATGATGCTCCATGGTAGAGTGCTAGATTATACGGGTCAATTAGCTTTGAAGCTCTCATCGTTTAGCATTTACAAGTTATCGCGCGATGCAGCTACCATTCTTGGTTAGATTTCTATTTTTGTAATGTCCTCAACATCCTATTGAATTTACTCGTTATAAATTTATATTGCCGCTGGATATTATGAATCTTTTTATTTTAAAATGGAGGTAAGTTGGGCTGTTCTGGAAATATTTGAGGCATTAAATTGCTAGTTCAGCCTTAACGTTGCTTTGGGTTCGGTTGAGGAAACTGGATTTGTCCAGTTGGTGGATGCAGTAGGTTTATGCATATTCATGTTCCCCCCTCACACCTGAGCATATATTTCGCAGGTGATAAGAATGTTGGACTTGAGCACTTGGTTCTGGCAATTTTCTATGGAAAGCAAGAAAATGATCGTACAGGGACGGTAAGGTCTATTTATTTGGGTATCCTTTTTGTTAGGTCTTCCCATCTTCATTGTTATGGATAACTGACCAAAACGGAAATGTCCACTGGCACACAAATATTGGTTAGTTATCCGTGTTACTTTTTTCCAGCATATTTTGCTTGGCAACATGGGGTCTTGAGCTTGCTATTATGTTAATTATGAGTGACTTTTCCATAATTATTATTTTATTTCTCTTAAAGGCTGCACAGGATGATTGCAGTTCTTTGTTCTTCGACGAGAAGAAATGGGATGATTACCTCTTGAAACGTAAGAATCAAATATGCATTCATTGTTTATATGATATACACAAATGTTTAGATATTTATATAATATATATATATATATATATATATATCTGTAAATGGAGTTTTATTCAATTGACTTCCTGTGCTTATTTTTGCCTTTTGCAATCTTCCCTCTCCCCAGATTTAAGATACAGGGATGAGTGTGATTTTGCAAGCTTGAATGACAGTGATTTTTTCAGATCATTGCTACCCGAAGATTGTTTGTCTTTTGGTAGACCGGCGGCATTATGTGGCTTTTCTATCAAGGATGAGCTGCACAAGGCTTTAAAGTCTGGCTTGAAGTTGAACGCTATTCGGGGGTAGAATTATTACCTTCCCTTTTGTGGGCTGGTCTGGCTTCCACTGTATATGCTGTTTGATACATTATGAATGCCCCTGTGAACATGGCTGGAAGGTTATTATTACTTTCAAAATAGGAATATATATTGCAAGTGAAGCCCGTGTTTGACTTATTTATTTGTTTATCTTTTTGGCTGAAAATTGCTTAACTTACGTTTCATGTGATAAAAAAAAGTGGTTAGACATCCTCAAGTAAAGCATGTGGAAGACCAAAAGAGTTATACTAGTTCATGACCACTTAATAATATACAAAGCTGACATACTCGATTGGTCCCTGTTGGTCTATTGGCCCTTCTACTGTGTATCATACAACGTAATCACTGACAACCACACAAGGAAAGGGTATTGTATTTTACTCAGTTAATGATAAAAGGTTAGTTGATACATAATTCTATCTCCATGTATATACACACGCATAAGAAAATCCAAGAGAAGCACATTAATATTTGTGTGCAAATATAGGTTTTTTTCTTGGGTGTTCCAAATAGAAGCCTGGACCTTCCTGTTCTGTCACCGTATGTGGGTCGGCATAATTTTGATTAGAGTGGCAATTTTGACCCGCATCTTTGAATCTACCCACGCCCCTCAGTAATTTATGGATTTAAACGCGCTTGTTTATCAAGCGGGTTATAATTGGGTAATATATATGGGTTTGTGCGGGCTCGTATTGGGTCATTGAAAAAATTAGAGGGTTGTTATTAGTAGGGAAATTTGGCTATAAATCCCCTTTACCTTCCTTTCATTGTTAAAAGGACTAAGAAAAAAATTATACTTTCTAAACCCCCTCATAATTATAAAGTCTTACATAAAGGACAAATTTATTATTTAAATATTTTATATGACTATTATACCCACTCTCTTCCCCACTCTCTTCCTTTCCACAGATGGCCTCTTCAAGAAGACCGGCGAGCTCTGCAACTTGTGCGGCACCGAAGCCGCCGTCATCACCTTCTCCAACGCCGGCAACACCTTCGCCTTCGGCAACCCCTCCATCGACTCCGCCCTCGACCGTTACCTCTCCATGACTTCATCATCCTCCAAAGCCTCCGCAAGCTTCTCTTCCCTCTTTCGATATAGGGTTTCAACTCAAATTTGTGCACCATGAACGATTCCGATCTCTAATCTCCTGAGATATATATATATATATATATATGTGTGTGTGTGTGTGTGTGTGTGTGTGTGTGTGTTTGTGTGTTTTGAGATTTGAATTCGAATATATAAATTTTTGAAAGCTTAAAGTTTTAAAAATTTGAAAAATCTGTAAAATCTGAAAAATCTGAAGAACCGGAGTATGAAAAATTGAGATTTCTTTAAAATTTTTAGATTATAGGCCTGATTCAAGGATTATAGGCATGATTCAATGTTTTTCAAAGTAAACATCGATTGATTCAAGGATTATAGGCCTGATTCAAAGCTCAAAGTTCCATCGATTTTTCAGAGTAAACATCAAATTTCATTTGATAGAACCAGAGTAAAATTTTACTCTGGTTCTATTGCTCTGTTTTTTTCATTTGACAGAACCAGAGTAAAATTTTACTTTTATACAGAGTAAAATTTTACTTTTAGCTTCAGAGTCTTACAGTTTACTTATTTTTCAGAGTAAAATTTTACTTTTATACAGAGTAAATTTTACTTTTAGTTTCAGAGTGTAGAATTTTACTCTCATTCATAGTAAAATTTTACTTTTATACAGAGTAAAATTTTACTTTCATACAGAGTAAAATTTTAATTTTAGTTTCAGAGTGTAAAATTTTACTCTCATTCAGAGTAAAATTTTACTTTCATATAGAGTAAAATTTTACTCTAAAATACTTAATAGGAGAGCTGATAGATATGAGGGTAATATAGTAAAAGAAAGTTTTAAAATATCAGGGGGTTTTGAAAGTACTTATATAATTCTTGTCATTTTGAAAAAGAAATTAGATAGTGAGGGGGCTATGACCAAATCCCCCTTATTAGTACTTAATTTCTTTGGACTCTTCAATTATCATTTTTTTAATTACATTTATTAGCCCTAATAAATTAATACAAACATGCAATGCTGATAATTCAACCTCGCGCTAACCGCGATCAAACAACATTGTTAACCACTCCACCACATGTTCACTTGTGCAACTTAACTACGTTCATTTTAGGATAAATTATAAATACACCTTTTGAGATTTATTTAAAATACAGTTTGTCTTCTGTGATTTAGAAAATTACAAATACCCCTTTATTAGAATTTTTTATTTAACAGAATTAACTTAAAAAATAAAATTCATAATTACTCTCCTATACAATAATAAAATTACCTAAATTATAAATTGAAACATATTTCAAATATCATTAAAAACTGTTAATTGACTTGGTGATTTATTAATAAAAAAGACAATTTGTTATAAAATTAGAAACTTTAGAGAGTGGAATATAATTTTCAAAATTATAGAAGACAATTCATATTTTAATCAAATTTCATGAATTGTATTTATAATTTACCTTTATTTTATTTATAACAATTTTGATAAGGACACGTTCTCTCTCCTCTCTTTGTGCTTGTGCACAAGCACATCTATATATCTACATAGAAAAACAAATATATATTTGATATAAATGTGTTTAGGTTGGTTTTTATTTTTATTTTTTATTGAATGTTATTTTTTTATTTAAATTTCTTCAATTTAAATTCTAATAAGAAATTATTTTTTATTTTATTCTTTTATTCTTCTAGTTTTATTCTTGTCCCTTCTTTTGAAAATGTTATATCGTATTTTTATTTTTATGTATTTATTTTTTTATCAAGATTTATATCTAAAATTTTAAATCGACCTGATATCTTTATATAAAAAATGGTTATGTTGATCCAAATCATAAGTTTTGGAATTTTTTTTAAATACATGACTATATATATGTAATTCTCTAAAAGTTATTTCTGACATTTTTTTGTTAGCAAAAAAATATTTTGGGCTGAAAAGTTAGGCCCAGGCCCTGGCCCACTCAAAATAGGGCCGTGTACCAATCATTTGCATTATACTCCACTTCAATAATCTAATAAAAACGTTACGAAATGAAATAGTGAAATTTTTTTTGTTGAGCAATCATCGGAGAAGGCAAACAATTTACTCGCGTTGCCCAATGATATATTCTCCAAATCACTTTGAATTCTCTCATTTTCACTATAATTTTGTCTTTTCGTAAGTGCATGAATATGATCTCTCGATATCATAAGTGCCTCAACCATTTGAGGTGAAAGTTTGTTGTGGTAATTGCTCAACACCTGTTCACCTGCACTAAAAGCTATTTTAGAAGCAACTGTAGAAATATGAACAGTTAGTATATCACGGGACATCTGTGAAATCACAGGCCATATTTATTTTGTTTTCACCAATCCAAAATTTCAAAATCATTGTAATCATTCACTTGTGGGCTATCCAAATAACGTTATAATTCAGAACTACTTACGCTTGTATGTTGAGATATTCTTCTACTTTTGATTACTGAAAAAACACTTAATCTTTTACCTCGAGATGAGACTGGTGTAGTGTGTGTATGTGTATTTACAGATACAACTTCCTTATATTCTTCAAATAGTTTTTTGCATGTTTTCATAATAGGGGTAAGTTGTTTTTGATCAACAAAAATACGAGCTAAAATTTTTTGTAAATCAATTTCTTTACACAATAGGATCAATTACGATGGCTAAACCTAAAAGATGAGGCAACCAATCAAAATATTTATCAATTTTTTTTTTCATTGCAGTAATAACGGTTATATAAAACAAATGGTGAAGTAGGAATATATATGTAAAAAAATAATTTTGTTGCAGTATAAAAAACTTGTAGAAAATCTTTATATAAGGTTACTTGGTACCAATTAAGTTTTGTGAGAGCCAGTACTCCTCCTATTGATGTTGTTGCAAATAATAAATCTATTGTTTTTCTTTGTTTACAAGCTCTCTTTAACATATTATACTTTCTGTTAAATATATATATATTACTTTGAATTCCACCTACTGTTTGTATCTAAAATTAATTTTTTTAATGGCATACTGTAAGATGCCTTTGGGGTTTACCCAGCGCGCCCGACAGTTCAGACTCCCAATCTTTTGATCTAGTCTCACTAGTGCAATGTGAACATAGAAGATGAGAGTTCAAATCCAGCAACTTTTGTAAACACCCATTTTGTTGCAAATATTTGCTGAAAATAGACTACATCACTAGATCTTAGAGTTGTCACCTAATCTTTTGGAGAAATTAGGAAACCCGTGACTCATGCCAAAGGCTCTGTTTGTCATAACCAAAGTGTCTAGGCTCGGGAACTTAGGTATGAGGAGGGAAGGTCATTAATTGAGCACCCCTGCTCACCCGATCAAAAGATCGGCCTTTACTAAGTCATTATGTGATTTTTATGATCTATATATGCTCATATTTTGGTTTTTATTAGTGCTAACATTACTGTTTGAGGAAATCAAGTATAGATCGTGTCACTAATTTTGGTTATGCTTTGATTTCATGCATTTTGAAAAAGCATTTTTTGTACAAACTCAGAGGCATAAGAATCAATCACATTCCAATACAAGCAACACAACCACCATCTGCTGACATTCAAACATATATTCAAATTAAGCACTTAGCCTCATGGTATAGTATTGAATATAACAAAGGACACACACACACATACAATATGCTATAGCAAATAAATGCTCACCTAGTACTCCGAGGTGAGCCAAAAGAATAGGTTAGTATATGCATGATTCTATAGGCAAGTAACTAATGCAATACATACAAAATGATCCTATAGGTCCGACTTACTAACAAAATGATATATGTATCATTTCAAATCGTGAGATAGCACATATAATCAAGTTAGAAGGAATAAACCCACGGATGCCAATGAGTTGGACCCGAATGCATGAAAAGTGGATGCAAATCATGAATATGACAAGAATATGATAAATAAAACATGATGCTATACAAAAAACGTATAAATAAAAGGGATAGAAAGACCTGGGGTTGGAGGATTATTACAAAAGTTGCCTCGACTCGGGAACTTAGGCCTTACAATTCGGACTCCCATGGTTCTGAATCTAATCTGACAAGTGCAATGTGAAACTGATAAACACCAAAGAGTCTAAATCTGGCAAATCATTTTGGAAAAACAATTTTAAATCAAAT